TCTTGTTGAAACCCACATGCACAATTTTCACATGGTTTTAGCTTGGATGTAAGCCTTGTGTTGAAACCCAAACACACAATTTTTACATGGTATCAAAGCCTAGGTTTTGTCTTGGGAAGTTTGTTGTTAGCCCACTTGACAAGACCCAAAGTTCATGTCGAGCTTACATGTAAGAGGGCATATTAAACCTCCTGACAAAGCCCAATGTTGATATTGGGCTTGCACGTTAAAGATGTGTTGAGTGGGAAAATCCCACGTTGAGTGTATAATAAAAGAAGTATGTGAGTTAAATATAAGGGAAACACATGGTTAATTTCTTCTTATTATTGGCCATTGACAAATTATCTTATTATCTTTAAGTCATTATAAGTATTCATATGTTTATATGTTAAATGAATAATAATAATAATAATGAAGTGTCTCTTTCTAAGTTGCAATATCAACCCTAGGAGACATTGAGTGGCCTATCACATGTGTTTAACACCACATTATAACTAAAAGACTAGTCTAGTAGTTACATGGGTCTTAACATATTTAAGCCACTTTTTTTCTTCATATTTAATTGATGTGGAATCTTTGTTCTTCACACTCACAAGGGAAACATACTTCGACACTCCCTCTTTCACTTGTGAGTTGTGAATCACTCCATTTTTTGTGAGAGTTCATTTTTCCATTTTTTTGACATACATACATGATCCATGGGTATACTCGTCATGGGTTTACATAATGTATACTCTCACTTTTTGCTAAGCTTAGCCTAAGACCAAAATGACCATTGGCTATGCTACACCATTGACTTTGATACCACTTGTTGAGTAGACATACGACTTAGCAAGGAGACAATGAGTGGCCCATCACAAGTATTTGACATCACATTGTAACCAAAAACTAGTCTAGTAGTTACATGGGTCCTAACATATTTAAGCATTCTTTTTCTTGATATTTCATTGACGGGGGTTCCTTGTTCTTCACACTCATAAGGGAAACATGGTTCTTTGTTCTTCACACTCATAAGGGAAACATACTTCAACTCCTAGGGTTATATTTTCTCATTAGCTAATGAACAAGAAACAAGCCTTGTTGTTGATCTAACAGGAGCACAAGCAATAGTACCAATTGCAGCTCATGTTCTTCCTCCCATCTTTGGCAAGCAATAGTACCAATTGCAGCTCATGTTCTTCCTCCCATCTTTGGCATGATTAATGGTTTGAGGTCAAGACAACTTAGAAAGTTTAGTGGAGAAGTTCGCTGTGTGGAGTGCAAAAAGGATTATCTCCTGACATTTTCTCTTTAGGAGAAATATCAAGATATACCTCATTTTTTGGATAGAAATAAGGAAGTAGTTGGTCAAAAGATGTTGGGAATTTGAATATCAAGTAATCTTAAGTGCATAGATTGTAAAAGGCAGTGGACCATACCAATTGTTTTTGATAAAAGTGACATTGACTATGAACATGTGAACTAGTTGTTTTTATTCCTTGGGAAGCAACTTCATAACACTTCTATCAATTAGATGAAGAATCTTATGCTAAAATGCATCAACCTTGATTATATGACACCACATGGAAAAATGAAGCTACTATTTGATGTTTATCAAAGGATATATGAGCTATTGCAAACTTGACTCGTGATGCTAAACAACACATTCTTAAGAATTCATAATAAAAGCTAGTAAATCTTTTTGCAATTGCTTTTCTTTGCAACTGTGTAGAATAGAATTTCTATGTTGCTACTTATTGTCAAACTATTGTCAATATGTAGAGCATATCCATTGTAATGTCAGAAATTTTTATCAAGTTAATATTTTCCTAGCAACATACTCCTCTTTTCCGCTCAAAGTTTGGGATTTTTGAGATTTGATTTCTTGTTATCTTTGATTGAACGACACCATGGATGTGCATACAACCTTATTCATATTGAATTTTTCTTTATCATAACACCATTTTTGGTATATAGTTTCTATGAGTCATTGCATCAATGGAAGCAAGATTGTATTTGAATTACCTATACATCGTTTCTACATATTCAACCTATCTAGTTAGTAAGCACTTTTAAATAGTTATCCTTCCTATGTTTGGTTTTTTTTTTTTTTTTCTAATTTTCCTATTCCTTTTTTATTTTATTTTATTCATCGTGTTGGGTTTGTGAGGAGTGATCAAAGGTATTTTGGGTATACTGATGTTATCTTTGATTCCTTTTGCTATGCCCCCTTGTGCTCTAGATATCATTCTTTCTCTTCCCTTGTTATTACATTACTTTATTGTTGTACCAACAATCTTTTGTGTTTATTCTCTAAAGACCGAAGAGAAGGGATTTTGTATCTAGAGGGGCTTTCATCAGTGAATCCGCACAGAAGTCATCCCATTGAAATTTGAACAAGTATGCTTGGTTAACCTGCTTCAAGGAAAGGAAATCATATAACATGGTTGCTTCCCACTTGGCAGCAACCTAAGACTTTCAGAAGCCACTCAAAATGGACAAGCCTTACTTGGCATTGTGCTGAAAAAAGGGAGCATAGTATATGTTACAAGTACAACATTACATTGCAATATAGACTACCAAGCTAACAACAAAACTGGGTAATGCCCCTGCTATAACTTTGACCTAAGCATGCCTGATTAACCCTTTTAATGGACTTACATCACAGTTCACTACTGTGCGAGTCTATTTTACTTTTTGGTCCATCCTTTTAATGGACCCTCCATATTAATAAAGTTGATGAAAGAACTTAAGTTTGCCATTAAAGAACTCAAGGCATGCATTGCATATATGTTACCATAACCCCTGATAACCTGATTTACATGTCAAACCCCACCCTTAAGAGACCTACTAGCTCACTAGGCATGGATATGAACCCTAGAAACTCATTCTATTGTATGGATTCATGGAAGAATTATGCTTACAAAACCATACCAGAAAGTTTTGAAATTAAAGAGAATTTATAAAACTAGTGTAACTATGTTCAAAATAGAAGCCAAACTCCCCTTAAGATGACTTAAGAGTTCTTAGTAAGATTTAAGATGCTTTAAAACAATTTAAATTAAGGCTTCCAGTGACATTTCAACATGCCATTGCCCAAAATCTAAGTGGACATTGCCAAAAATAAGTATACATGTGTCTGTGTGTGTGTGTGTGTGTATATATATAATTTGCGCTTTTGGGGTATAAGTTAAGTGTGTATTTATTACACATTTTCATTATTAATTTGTATGGAAAATTACAAAAGTAAATTTTATTTTCAACATCAACACCACATGGAATAATTTAATTGGTTGATTGATAAAATTAAAGTCAACTTTTATTTTTTTTTTATGTAAATTAATAATAAAAAGGTGCAATAAATGCTTTAGGCATAGGTTAGAAAATTTCATGTATACATTTATATTTATATGAATTTGTTATTTTACAATTTAAACTATTATGTATTGTAAAATAAGGACCATTAGTTGGGAAAGGACCCTATGGGTCAATGTTTTACCGTCCAGACTGTAAAACAGTTTTTCTTGTATATATATATATATATATATGAGTATGTTTGTTTTATAATTTATACTATTCTAAACTGTAAAACATGGAGCTTAGACGAGGGATAGATGGGCATCGTCACCTATCCAAAGACTAGTATTTTATAGTCTGAAATAGTCTGATATGTAAAATACATTTTAATATATATATATATATATATATTAAAATAAAAAAAATATAGTACAGTCCATATTATAAAACAAGGTTCCCATATCAACAACATGCTTCATAGATAAAGTGCTTACGTGATGTAAAGCTTCAAAGCTGTTCAGTTTATAAATGCACAATAGATCAGCAGTTCATAGAGTTCAAGCTTATATAAAACTGTTGACCTTGGCACAAAATGATTCATCAGAGTTTTAAGAAGGCAAAGATACAAAATAGAACTTTTACAATTGAAATCCACTAAACATTACGTAGGGGTTCGTTATCCTTTTTGCATTTAGTGTTTGGATGCATCTTAAGGATTGCTGTCATTTCCCCCCCATGGCAATGTTGATAATAAAGCAAAATTATATGCCAAAAAATGGAGCCATGATACAAAAAAATTTCAACATAAATAAGGCTGCACGTCCATAGACCATAACATGGATCAGATATATAATATACTTTAGTTTAAAGGTAACAAGAAATCATATCTCAAATATCCCAAGCTTGAGGGGAAATGAGGTGTATGCCGCTGAGAAAAATATGAACTTGATACTTCTATTAATTTTTGACATTGCAATCAATTGGACATGCATTGCATATTGTCAATAATTCCGCTGAAGTAGCTAGCAACTCAAAAATTCTGTTCTATTCAATTGTAGAGAAGTGAAATCGCGTACTTTTGCTTTTGGGGTTTTAAATCCTTTGGTGCTTGACTACTAGTCTCAACCTTCACGACTAATTTACATTACTTTCATGACCAAATTATGTATCTTAACTCGCCAATTACACATCATTAAGTATGCAAAAATTATCAATGACCTATGCGACTAAAATGCATTTTTGTCTATTGTGCTCTAATCAGTAGCAGTAACTATCAATCCATGTATTTAGAGAAGCTTAAGAGTTCAAAGCAAAATGACTAAAATCCACAAATGAAAATGATACAAATAAGTCTTATAGAAACTATCAAGAGACATTTCTAGTCTCTGAACTGTAGAACCTTTCTTTTTGAGATAACAAAAATTTAATGTGCCAAAAGTATTGAAAGAAACAACACAGTAAAGATGTGTTTGGAATATTTCTATTGGAAAAGGATCTGATCCACACATAACACTGATGAACATTCATAAATCATATTCTAAAAGAAAGAGAAGATCATTCTTCTTAATCCAGTGACAATAAGACCAACAACCAAAGGGTGAAAAACAATGAACTCGTTAATCTGTCATTGGATATTCAAGTAAAAACAAATTACTTTCTTTAATAAATAAAAATATTTCATTGATAATAACTTAAGAAACAGAAGAGGCGGTGTGCTTGAGTGCAATTGAATCCAAATCTAAGTGCGTAAAGCCAAATCATAAAACAAATCCATAAGAAGCATAAGAAAATACAACATTGAATTGGGTTCCCAATAACTAAACAACCTTCCCACTGGCGAAGCTTCAACAAATCCTCCCAAGGTTGTGAAAAAATGGAAACAAAACCCTGAAGTGTTTCTAGGCTTTGAACCTCTGAACTAAACGAAAATGCAGGACAATGACAGCAAACACAAGCAACACACCTAATAAACCAAGAAGAATAACAAAAGATAAAGCTCAACTTAGACAAATCCACGCAAATCTACACTCCATATATTTTTGAAGATAAAATAGCACAAAGGCAGTATAATTGTGAACAACACCAATAAATTAGAACTGTATCAAGAAAATCCACCTTTCTGCACATGGCATTCCAGGAAAAATAAATCAAATATCATGGGAGTCATGCCTCCCTTGCCTCACCTCTTCTTCACACACACCTTGATTAGCATAATAATCTAACAGAATATCGACAATGGCACACCTGGCAGAATTTCACAATGTGAACCTCCTCTAGCTCCAAAGACTCATCAAACTCATCGAAGACAAGACAAAACTGAACTGTCAAGGGCACTTTCTCATGATTAATGAATAATAAAAACCATAATGAGCATTCCTTTAACAACCAAATTTACAAGCTGAGACCACAGAGTTCTTGTCAACAGCAAAGAATAATAGCTGGCAGAATTGCTTCATCCTTCTCATTACAACTAATAGCACCTTAAAGAACACCCTTAACACATCCATTGCAACCTATATTAAAACTTCTCTAACAACCAAACTGCCTTTAGTCACTTTTGACATCCCAGCCTCAGCACTCTTAACACCATAGCACACCCTCTTCTATTATCAGACACTCCCAACATTAAAGAAGATAATAAAACTAGAACAAAAAAATAATATTAATAAAATTAGAATTGAGTGATTGAATCTATCGACCCAGGGAGACCAAGCTCTCCACATACAGACTCACAGGCCAGGATCTGACACTGTGATTGCCAAATTCTGCAACCTTGTTAACTGAATGATCATTGGGGTCATAAATAGCATATTCATCTCTTTCATGTGAAAAAATCAGAACTTTGCCATTGCTGGTGAAACAGATAGGAGACGTCACATCCCAATTTGTTTCATCATCTAAAGGGGTGTTGAAGTTGCCATCAGTACCATGAACTCTGAACAATTTCGTCCAAAATTTGGAATTTGTCACCAGATTTTCCTCCATCATCCACACATCATATGTCACCCCATCCAAAGACACCACCAGACAAAGAGAATCTCTTGAGAGCTCCAAAGCAGCATACATTTTAAAGTCATTGGATAATGTCCAGCTTAGAGATTCCTCTTCTCCCATCCTATCTGTGGCCAAATCAAAACTCGCAATCCCACATTCTTCTTGTCCTTTACGATCAATAAGCCAATAGATGCGGCCATTGACATGTTTGGATTCTGTGGTTGCTCCTGATAAATCAAACAGGTACTGTGTATCGCATTGAGTAGTTTTCCATAAACCCGTCTCCAAGCCCAAGCACTGGACCTTATCAAGCTTCCTTCCTGACAATGCACTTGTGGCTACTACGAGTTTGTAATCATCACTGACAGAGTCATAACTGAACCCAAGTCGTTCAAAATTCTGCTGACGACATTGTGGTATCGAAAATCTCCTCTGTTCCTTGGTTAACGGCTTCCAAACAATAATGCTACTCTGGTCAGTTTCCTTAGAAAACAAGTTTTGATTTGCGCACAGACAGATTGAGAGAAGAGGAATCGTTAAGCTGGAGACCAACCAATGAATCCAAAGCGTGTATTAGCTAGGAGCTCTCAGGAGAGTCTCTTTGTTTGTTAGTGTCTCAGGACAAGGTTGCATGTGTGGATGATGCAGGAAAATGTGGTGAGACGTACCAAGTCTTGGATTAAATTGTTCAGTGTTAGTAGTACTGATGGCAACTTCAACACCCCTTTAAATGATCCATTGAACAGGGATGTGAGGACTCCAGTCTGTTTTATTGGAAACAGAAAGGTTTTGATTTTTTGGCATTCAAGACATGAATATGCTCTGTGTGACCCGATGACCAATCAGTTAACAAGGTTGCAGAAATTGGCGATCCCATTATGGATTCCTGGCCTATGGGTCCATACGTGGAGAGCTTGGTCTCTCTGAGTAGATGAATTCAATCACTGAATTCTAATTTTATTAATGTTATTTTTTAGTTTCATCATTTATGTTGCTTTTGTCTAGTGTTATTACCTTCTCTATTTTGGGGAATGGCTAATGATTGAAGAGGGTGTGCTAGTGTTGAGTCCTAGGGCTGGGATGTGAGAAGTGATCAAAGGTAGTTTGAGTATTGGGTTAGTTTTAATAAACTGAAGTGGATTTGTTAAGGGTGTTTATTTGGGTGATATAAGTTGTAATGAGAATGATGGAGCCATTCTGCCAGCTATTCTTCTTGTCTGTAAACAGGAATTCTGTGTGGTTTCAGCAATTAAATTTGGTCGTTCAAGGAATGGTTAATTTAGTTCTTATTCATTAATTACAAAAAAGTGGCATGCCTTAACAGTTCAGTTTTGTCTTCAATGAAATTGACGTGTCTTTGGAGGAGTTTAGTGCTGTGTTACCACCATCAATATTCTTTTAGATTATTATGCTAGTCAATGTGTGTGTAGCAATGTCGAGGGAACCATGACTCGCATTATAATTGATTTATTTTGCCCAGAATCTCATGTGCATAAAGGTGGTTTTTCTTGATACAGTTCTGATTTATTGTTGCCGTTCATGATTATGCTGCCTGTTGTTATGATATTTTATCTTCATGAACTGCTGGAGTGTAGATGTTTTGTATTTAAGCTTGTTGTGTAATTAAGCTTTATTTTTATACCAGTTGGCCTGAGGAGTCTTCTTTGTTCAGTAGGTGTTGCTTGTGTTTTGCTGTCATTGTATGTGAGATATGATTTGTATAGAATTAGCATGGTTGTGATTTTATATAAGAATAAATTGTCTTGGATTCATTTATTGGTGGTTGATATTGAGTGATAATGTATAATATGTAAAATTACATCCCAGGTGCAGAGTTGCTTCTAAGCATAAAGGACTGAGTGGTACTTCTGACATATAATGGTTTCATTTCATCTTCTAAGTTCTGAGAAAGGGCATTCAAGTCTGCAGCAGCTTGTGCAGTGGTGTGGGATCAGGATTTAATGGAGTTGTCATTTTTATGAGGAAATATTTGTTTCCTTGGGTACTGTTTTATAATGTGGCTTGCTTCTGCCTGTCCAGGGCATGATGAGAGTAAGTGTCACATGGTTTGCCTATATATTCTTCTTTCAATTGCTAAAGGTCTTATGGTGTCACAAAGCCAAAAATTTAGTACTTGAAGCTGGAAGTAAGCCAACACGCATCAAGGAAGCATTTCTAGAGATTTAGGTTCAGCTTTAACCTTAAGAATGGTAGTACGGATTTTGACTACAATGTTCTCTATTCCTTTGCTAGTGTTGGTTATAGATCATGAATTTCTGTTGTGCTTATCTAAACTGCTCGTAAATAGTGTTGCCATTTGTTAATCTTGGTTGTCTTTAACGTAGTGTTTCCAATTTCTAAATTGATAGGCCTGACTCCCCAAGGCACACATCATTTATTGCTGAGCAACTAGTGCATCTGAGCCAAGCAATATGGGTTATATGGTTAGGCTTTGTCTTTTGGGACCTGGAACGTGTTTCTTCGTCTTTGTTCCACTGACTTCTGCCCAATGGTATTAGTTTAGTGGAATGTTTTTCTGGTATGAATAATTTTATATGCTTGACCTGCGAGGTCTTCTTTGTTCAGTAGGTGTTACTTGTGTTTTGCTGTCTTTGTCCTTCATTTCAGTTTAGTTCAGAGGTGCGATGTCCAGAGATACTTCAGGGTTTAGTTTCCATTTTTTCCTAACCTTTTTAGGAGATGTTAAAGCTTGCCAGTGGGAAGTTTGGTTAGGTATTGGGAACCCATGTCAATGTTGTATTTTCTTATGCTGCCTATGGATTTGTATTTTAGTTGGCTTTATGCACATAGGTTTAGGTTCAATTGCACTCTTGCTTCAAGGAGGTGTTCTACCTCTTCTGGTTTTTATGTGAAATGTTTTATTTGTTTATTTATTTATTTAAGTAATTTGTTTTTGCTTGAATATCCATTGACTGATATAACAAGTTCATTGTTGTTTACCCTTTGATTGCTGGGCTTATTGTCAACTGCACTCTCACTTCCAGACACATCTTACTAGGTAGTTAGTTGTTATGACAGTTGCTTGGACCTGAGTACTGCTTTCACTGGCATTGGGACTCTAAATTTTGTTTTTTATCCCTATCATGATTTGAATGATTTAGACATCCATTCTACCTATTTAACCACATTTAGTAATCGTGTGGAGCTGGTTGAACAGTTTTCTTCCCTATTTACTTGGGTTTTTCCTTTGTGGATTTAGTCCTTTTGCTCTGATTCGAGTCTTAAGCTTCTTTGTATACTTCGATTGATCAGTTTGTCCATATTCACTGTTTTAGCTGGCAACATCAAACCATAGTCATCTTGCGCCTTTCCCTCATGTTATGTTAGAAGTGTACATGAAACATGTTAGCCACAAATAGGGATGTCAACGGGGCCCCGCGGGGCCGGGGAGTGCCTCCCCGTCCCCATCCCCGCCGATCCCCGCGGGGATTTTTGACTGGAGGCAGATTTTGCCCCCTGTCCCTGTTCCCCGCGGGGATCCCCATTCCCCACCAATTAATAACAAAGTATATATTTTTTGCATCAAACATAAATAAAAATTAATTTAACACAAATAATTAAATCAACAACATTGTTCCAAATAGAGATTAATCCAACATAAAGTAACATGTTCCAAATATATATAGAAATTAATCCAACATAAAGCAACATACTTGTTCCAAATAAAAGCAAAAATCAACCCAACATAAATAAAATAACTAAACTAAACCAACATTCAACATGAAAGGAAGAAGCCAAGAACCAACTCAAACCACTTTAGCTCTCAAAATCCACAATTGCTCATAAAAAAACCTACAATACAATTAGTAAATACTTTATATTAACATATTTATAAAAAAAACTGTTTATATTATTAGTATAAAAAAGGGTCATGCATATTTACCTTTGAATTATTGTCTTCATCACAATCCACATCCTCATTTTGAGTAAAGAAACATATATCATCCAAAGAACCTATTTCAAATATGAAAATTTAAATTAAAAATTAACTACTTAATTAAAGAATAAAAAAATATATACATAAAAAAAATAAAAGAAACATAAACTTAATATCATAAATTCCTTTGTGTCATCTGACACGCATAATTAAACCTTAATAGGTTCTATAGAGCAGAGAAGTCAATTGAACTAAAGATCAGTCATATCCATTCCCCAGGCCTGGTTTACAAAGCACATGTAATTTTAACTCGCTATCAACCACCAAAATTACTTACCAGTTACCATGATGGGGACAGAAGATATAACTCATACAACCAAAGTGATGGAGTAAAAAAATAAAAAAATATACAGAGGATTTCCATGCATAATTTCCACAATGGTCACGAGGGTTGTTGGAGCCTAAAATTTGCTCAATTGGCTAGGTACTTCTTTTTTTAAAAAAAAATCAAATTAGTTCTAATAGACCAACTACAAAGGATGATAAAAGAAGAAAAGCAAAGAATGATTTACCTTGCACTTAGCATATTGACGCATTCTTCATTTTGGCTGCCTGTAATCAGTGTCCCAACCTGCATTGTTATGCTATTTAGCTTTATTGCTATTCTAAATTATCCACTTAAATTTTGTCCAGCACATTTCATTTTAAGATCCATTCAATCTTTAGAAAGACTTTGGCTTACCTCGGGTAGAACCATTTCAAATGCTGCAACTGTACATCGATCATCATTCAAGCGTACATAAAATGATTTCAATTCTTTTGGATAATTGTAAATGATTACACGCTTCTTACAGATCACATCAGCCAAGTAACTGCCATTGAGTAAATAGTTAGTAAGAACCAACAAGATCAAGAACCCTCACTTCCTCTTGTTTAGGATTTTCTCATGTGGAATCTCCAACTTAATACTTAGTATACCTACCTTAGATGTTATGCAGTTAAAGCAACACCCCACTGAAGTTCTGTTTCAAATTCTTTATCTGTGACCTAGTTGGCAGGTAAAAAATTTTTAGGAGAGAAATTGCCAGAGAAGTAAAATTGGGTGTGTTTTCTAATCTATTACATACAAAGGATGTGTCACTTACCTTTCTTAACCTATCCACCACTTCTTTATAGGTGATTTTTTCACTAGAATTTTCCGTCAGAGATTGAAGACGTTTGATAATGGTCTTGGAAGTTCGTTTTGTTAAAAAGTCCACAGTTGTTGTTGAACATTTGTCCAATATCCATTTGCATAGAAATCTGAAATAGTCATCTGCACATCTTATAGCATCCTGGAAATCCAAAAAAGAGAACAATGTAATTCCGACATAAGAAAACTAATTCATATATCCTGAAGCTGATTTCTTTTCCAATTGAGATGAAGAAGTCTTAAATGCACTCTAGATTGACACCTTCAGGTCCTGGCCAATGATAATTCCAAGAACAGATTTTTATTATATACTTCCATAGAGATGATTCTGTATTGTAGAGAAATATAAAACTACATCCAATAAAATTATGGTTACCTTTAAATGCTAAAGATATATTATTAAAATATTAAGGCCACCTTAACTAAAGTACATCTACAAGAGGTCAAGAACACGTTTTGATTAAGCAAAGCCCCATTATGACTTTTCCTCTGGTATAACTGCTTCACCCTAATAGTCAAAGTTGGTCGAAGGATAGGCAGAACAGGCTGATCTTCAGAAACTGAACAATTACAATGTAAGGCGTAGAAGAGATACTAGGGCATACTAGAAATGCAGAGAAATAAAGAGCCTAAGAATTAGGGTAACTGCTAAATGACAATGAAGCTGGATATTTGTGTCATAAAATTACCACTTGAAAATTACCACAGGCAGCAAGTAGAGGGGGTCCGGCACAGTGCAGCAAGCAGAGGGTCCGGCACAGGCAGCAAGTAGAGGGGGTCCGGCACAGTGCAGCAAGCAGAGGGTCCGGCACAGGCAGCAAGCAGAGGGGGTCCGGCACAGTGCAGCAAGCAGAGGGTCCGGTACGGGCAGCAAGCAAAGGGTTCGGCACAGGCAGCAAGCAGAGGGTCCGGCACAGGCAGCAAGCAGAAGAGGTCCGGCACAGGCAGCAAGCAGAAGGGGTCCGGCACAGGCAGCAAGCAGAGAGGGAGTTCGGCACAGGCAGCAGCTAACAGCTTTGACAGCAGCTCCAGGAGCAGATCTGTAACAGCTCCAACAGCAGACCTGTAGTAGATCTGTAGCAGCAAGAAGGGGAGAGGAAGGTTGAAGGTGAGGTGAGACTTGAGAGCTTGATTGTCCGGCTGAAACCAAGAGTGAGTGAGGGGTTGTGGCTGCGTGCGTGAGTCAGGAGAAAAGGAGGGGAAATGAATAAAGTTATGAAATTAGGCTTGGAGGGGGATTAATTAGGGTTGGAACTTGTAAGGAGGTTGGCCGGATTGCTGGGTTGGCCGGATGGGTTGGGCGGTTGGGTTGGGTTGGGTTGGGTAAAATTTAATTTTTATTGAATTGGGTTTGGGGTATGTTTGAGTTTTATTTTAAATATTAAATTAAATTTAAATTATTTTTTTTTATTTTTTCGCGGGGATGGGATCCCGCGGGTCCTGTGGGGCGGGGAAAATTTCCCACGAAATTTCACGAGGAGAAAATACCCTCCATCTCCGCCCGCAGGGAGGAATATTCCTCCCCGTCCCGTCCTGTGACGGGGATCTTGCGCGGCCCCGCGAGGATTGGGGAAAATTGCCACCCCTAACCACAAATAAGACATATCGACAAACAACTACATACATCTCCTAATTACTTAAAGAAATTAAGAAATTATTGTTAACGATGTCTCCTATTTGGTACATTATTGGAAGAGGTGTCTCTTATTTGGTTTTTCA